TCCACTAAATTTCGCCAAAGAAGAGCAAACGCTCAAAACAGTAGTCTGACCAAATTCATTGAAGCCGTGTGACTGTACCATCGAGAGTATTACTTGACCCCCGACGCAGCAAATGCTTTCATTAGAATCTACTGTAAAGTTCTGAGAGTAACGAGGGTGGTTTAGCAGACGGTTTAGCAGCCTTTACCTAGTCCTAGCCCTACGGTTTCTGTTATTCAGTTAGTCGTCATTTTCTTTGACGTTGATATTGTGGTAAAAAACAAATGTGGTTTAGAGTGGTCTGTCCTCTGATCGACAATGAGTACACGTCATCACTCTTTTCCCAAACATTTTTTTCTTATTGGTTCTCCATGTTGAGCAAGTTGGCAAAAGTTTTTGAAAGGAAAGTCTGACACATACAAGTAGCTCATCAGCATAGTGCAGCGCACGCACTTTCAAGTCGGAGTTTTCAATTGTCAACAAATCTTGACAAAGATTGATATTGTAGTAAAAAGCATATCGAATGTGGTTTAGCGTGGACTGCACTCTTATCGACAACGAGTACGCGTCATCACAGTGGTCAGAATTTGTTGTGTGTCCAAAGCATTTTGACCACTGTAATGACGCGTACTCGTTGTCGATAAGAGTACAGACCACGCTAAACCACATTCGGTTTGTTAAGTTTAAGAGCTTTTCACTTATTTTTTCTATGATAAATTACGTTTACCTCTTAAATCCAATAAAACCACTAAGATATATTAGTAGCGTCACAAAAATAAGGTCGTGAATGAGTTATTTTAACTTTCCCAAAATCAGCAAGTGAAGTACGGACCCATACAAATTTCTCTTATTTTTTGTACTTAATGGATGTGAGGCATGTAACTCAGTTTGTATAGATTCTTCCACTCTTCGAACTGGTAATTCTCTATATTGCCAGTGATATAAAATTTTGTTCCAGTGATGTTTGGAAAAGTTTTAAAAAAATAGTCACACTACTACTGCACCAGTCTTCAATGAAAAACTATAACATGAGCATTTTTGACATCATAATGAACAATCACATAACCATTATTAGTAGAATTCTACTAGTATACTAATGCAAATGCTGTAATCTGAATGGCCTTTGAACACTATCAGCATTAGTGTGCAGTGGCTGAAGGTCGTCTAGGAAATGACGTTTTTTCGTTCTTCCGAAGTTTTGGAGGAAAATTTTCGGTTTCTTGACGTTTAAAAAAGTTGAAATTATTGAAAAAACTGATGCGCGCGAGCACACAACTTCAATTTTAAGGTGGCCGAACACAGTTTTCGCGCGCGCTTTTGCTGATGCAATTCAGCGCGTGCACAAGGATTGCAAAAAACAAACATGCCGTCAAAAGAGCGATCATTTTATTTACTCAACACCCGCAATATCTGTGCTATTTTTCTCTAATTGAACGCAGTGTATTGTTGACTTTAGTCTTCTATTACAAAGATATGTTAGAAAAGGTAACGATGCAAAGAACCCAGCAATTCTCAGC